GGGGGGGGGGGGGGGGGGGGGGGGGGGGGGGGGGGGGGGGGGGGGGGGGGGGGGGGTCAGTGTGATGCGGGGAAGGTCGCACGTCTTGTTCCCGGGGCTATAGGACTACAGGAGCAAGCAGGCGAGTGGGGGGGGGAAACGGTGAAGTATAAACATGCGCACGCATATGTCATTGCGGAACAAATCAAGGGCAAAATCAGGTGGGCAAGGTCTGGGGTTGGCTGTCATGGTCGTCCTTCTCGGCAAGGCGAGAAACGCGCGACAAACTCCAAAGATAGTCACAGCGAGCGTACGCAGCGAGAAAGGGACGGCGGATCACACAACAGGTCCACGTTTTCGACTCCAACGCCGAACAAGACAACCACTAGTCTACGACAGAATAATCTGCTGAGCAGCAGTAGCATCACACCTTCCCCCTGACCAAAGCGCCTGCTCGCTGCATCACCGCCTGAGGGCAACGCTTTTCAAGGTAGAAACCGAGCACGTTCTGAGCTTGCCTATCGAATATACCCAACAACAACAACAACAACAACAACAACAACAACAACAACAACAACAACAACAACAACAACAACAGCAACAATCGACAACGACAGTGACAACAACAACCGACAACGACGACAACGACACAACGATTGTTTTGGCTCGTCGCGTGTCACAAAGCGCACCTCAAGATGACAAAGCACGAAAAAAGAGGTACAGATACCTTCCGAGTGCTCCTTTCCGGCCGACAGAACTCCAAGGAGGCCACCAAGACCCCGTTGGGAGACGCAGAGCACCCGAGCAGAGGAGGTGGGTTCTTCAGCGGCGACTGCTCTCCCCTCTTCGTCATTCTTGATACCGTCTTTCTAAGCCTGTGCACGCGATCATATTGCAAACACGCCACCGGACTTTGCATCATGCTGCTGCTGTTGTTGTCGCTGTGATTGTGACGTCATTTGTTGGGCATGCTGTTCATGGCGGCGGTTGGTCTTGCTGTTGTTGTCGGTTACGGTAGTGAATAATTCCAGAAGCCTTGCCCCATGGCCACAACGAGAGCGGCACAACTGTAGTACTTCTGCCCCGTACCACCAGGGGTGTTGGAGGCACTTATGAGCGGGCCGATACACGTGAAGAAATACACGTGAAGCTCACCCTGACCTAGACTGCTTCGTCTTTCTCCATCGAAGGACAAAACGCACCAGAGAAGGATGCCTCTGACATGTATCACTTTTTTCGTTCGGCTGCCCGTACTACAGGTAGGTCTTCCCTTTCGTTCGATTTCGACATCTCCCCAGTGAAGCCAAAAGTTACCGTTAGCATTACCCGCTCCACTTGTTACAGAATTACATCAAAACAGGTTGCTGTAGGTTCTAGGTGTGGTTGATTCGGCTTCATCGTGAAATCGCCTGCTCCTAACCGGAATCACGCTTAACTACCCTGGTAGCAAACGGTCCACAATGCCTACCCACCACGTATTACGTTATTTCCCACCAAGGGTGCTGTAAATAGGCCTCCAGCAGAACGGCCCGGGTAAGGGACTAGTTCGTCCCCTGAATGCCCGATCCACCACGGGGGCCTCCAAATGAAACCATGGAACACCCCGACCCGCCCCCCCCAGATCAAAATTGACGCCCAGAAGTAGCCACTTATTTTTTGGCACGTGTCACTTGCAGCAGTCTACTGTACGGGACTTAGTGTGTCGATAGTGAAACCTATATATTCTTTGTATTGGCTTTCGTGTCGCAAGGCAAAACCCAAATAACACTCTTTGTTGTATAGGCTTTTAGCATAGCATTTAAAAACCCATGAAGTACAGGTATGTAGTCAAGTATGGCCAAACATATCCTCTAGGCCGTCGTATCTCGTTCCAAAACCCATACAATACGTGGTTGTATAGTTTGGAATAGCCATACGGTATCCAATATCGGCTTTAGTGTCGCCTTCCAAAGGTCGCAAAATACCTCGGTATATAAAGTTGAAGAATGCCCATACCAAATCTCATCAAGTAACATTGGTTTCAATACATCATACAATTCAAGAGTACTCAGGGTTAGGCTGTACCTAAACCTATACCAAAGACACCTCCCTGGCGACCCCCCCCCCCCCCCCCCCCCCCCCCCCCCCCCCCCCCCCCCCCCCCCCCCCCCCCCCCCCCCCCCCCCCCCCCCCCCNNNTTGGGTTTTCGTCGCTTGGCAACGACGTTGGAAAACAAGCCAATTCACTTCGTGCACTCGGCAACCAGGTTACCGGTTTTATGTTTACCTCCGTTTTTTTTTGGCGGTAACCATTATGGTGGTCGAGTAGATCATGTTGTGCGGGGTC